GTAGTCGTAATTCATCTTGTGCTGCGAGATCAACGCTCCACGGTGGGGTCTGCTGTCGGACAGCCGAAGTGGCGGCGGTGTCAGCGAGCTCGTTGCCTTCGTTGCCTGCATGTCCACGGACCCACTCTACCGACACTCGACCAGGGCGGTCCTGTACCAGCTTGGCAAGAACTGCCCATAGTCCCGCATACGTCGCTCTCTGTCGTTTTCTTGGTAGTGCCGTTTGGCGTTTCTTCACCAGTTCCTCGAATTGTTGCACGACTGCTGAGTTGTCCAGATGGATGAGCAGGTCCTGCTCCTTGGGCTGCGCGATGACTGCAGCAATTAGACCCATGAGCTCAGCTTTTGTCGATGAGGCGTATCCATCCACTCGGCCTTGTAGTGTGTCACCTGTAGCCTGCGACGTGTCCACGACGCTGAAAGCCATGGCAATGTTATCCGTGCCTGCTGCTATCAAGGATCCATCCGAATACACACCACGAGTGTCTGTTGTCGGGAGGCGAGACTGAATTTGTGCCATTGATATCGCCTGCTCTACTGGCATCAGAAGGGGACCCATCCTGACCACACTGTCATCAGAAGCTTCTGGTGGGAGAATGACGGGTTGCATGAGAGGGAATGTGGCAGTACGGTCCATGGACGCCGCGATAGGAGGTAGTTGTAGTAGGCGACGCTCTTCGTTGCGTATTCTCATCTGCGCAACTCTCGCCGCCGCCTTCTGTGCTTTGATGTTACGTTTTTCTGCTCGCTGTGCAGCCTTGATGTTGCGTTTCTCTGCCCGTCGTGCCGCCTTGGCTGCTGCAGCTGCGGCTCGCCGTTGCTCCCGGTCCTGGAACGCCGAGATGGCAATCCGTTGCTGTCTTGTAGCAGATGCGTGTACCTGTGCCTCAGCTGCTTGACGTCGCGCAGCGTTCTTGTTCAGAGCGTCTTGTGACCTGTTGCGGTGCTGTGTGATGTCCTTTCGAGCCTTGGTCTTCAGCGCTGCCACAGCCTCTGTCAGTCTGGCAGGTTGAGCTCGTAGTCTAGTAGTAAAGTGGGCAATGTCTTTGGCAAGCAGAGAGCGACGCTTGTTAAATAATTGAGTGAGATCTGACAGCAACGTGTTGCATCGATGCGCCGAGTCTCGAGCAATAGCCTGCAGCTCCTCATCCACCGTACGAGCCAGGGTGGCCATGTGTGCCCTGAGCTGTGCATCGGCGTTGGCAGGCATATCGTCCAGAGATGGTGATGAAGTGGCGAGAGGGCATATTGAGGTTGCTGTGTTGGGGAAATAGTCCTGAGAGGCTTGTGAGGGCCCAAGAGAGGTGTGCTTGTGAGGGCCTAAGAGAGGTGTGCTGTGGAGGAGGGGAGGGAGTATCGATAAAAGAGGGTGCCGACCTGTGTCTTCTTCGTGTTGATCTCGACGCCGTTGAGCACAAAAAGGATGTTGCCACATCCAAGATCTCCTGCATGTTTTCTTGTGAGTCCGATACCCATGTCGTGTCATCCACGAACGCTAGAGCCGCCACCTGCGGTGTGTTAGGCGGGGGGATAGCCAACTCGGCCAGGGTTACCACCCTACCTTACCCTATCCACCCAACTTGGTGGCGTACCTCGTCAAGAAAATTGGTGGCGCTGTCACATTTAGTGGCGTTTTTATGACTATAAAGTATAATTAAAATTTAGCGTTGTAGAATACTGTCAGCATGGCCGAGTGGTTAAGGCGTATGACTTGAAATCATATGGGATTTCCCGCGCAGGTTCAAACCCTGCTGCTGACGCGACATTTTTTTGTATTCTCGCCCGTTTTGTGTAGTTAGTATTTGGGGAAGGCTAGCAATTCGCCTTTGGTGTGTACTTTTTGTTTTCTTTCACCCAGAAACGATAGGGGCTAGAGCACTAACGGATCGGGAGGTTTATGTTTCCTTTTTATCTAATGACGCAAGTCTAAAGTGAAAGATATCGAAGAGCAACATGACGTTATTGCGAAAGTCGCTTGTGATAAGGACAGAGACAATAAAGGAGATGTGAAAGGATAAAGAAGGGATAGTTGTCTATTACAGAGTGCAGGACAGCTATTGCTATCTCTTTTAGACGTTCGTGGTGGGATGTCCTTAAGAACACCTAAAAGCAAGACCATCTGCTCAAGTGTATACTAGCTTCGACTTGGCGTCAGTATCCATCTATCCCACATGCCAAGAGATGCTGTAATCTACGCGACATTGGGAGGGTTACCCCAGCAGAAAAAATGCGATATGTGTGATTAGTGTATTGAAAAGTTAGTTAATGCTGCTACGCGTTGCCCTCCCTCCGTTCTATTGTCTCTCCTTATAAACGTCGTACAGTTCACTGCGTCTATGGCGTTCGTAAAGGAGATAACATCAATGGGCCATTGGGAAGCAAGCAACAGAAGCAAATGAGCGAACTTTTATGGAACTGTTGATGGCAATTTGGGTACATGAAGCATAAACATGAAATATGATACAAGAGAATCAACTGGAGGATAAGCAATGGTTACGACAATAAACAATGGCTATGGCGAGAAACAAAATAAAAAATATGAACAAGGTGAGCGGTACTGAGTTGGACGAAAGAAGAAGAAAGAATGAAAAAAAGAAAAACAGCGGGGCTAAATAACATCGGTTTGGACTTCCTCAAGGTTCCTGCTACCTCTCCATACCGCCTACATCTTTCTGCGCTTTTGAGCCCTAAGATTCATAGGATTCAATTCTGTAGGGGTCATTTCAGGCGCCACCAGAGTATCTATTGAAGATGTCGATCGCGACGCCAGTTTGGGACGATCCTGTCCTCCATACCCTTGATCCAGGCTCTGTTGCTGACCCACCTGACTTGTCTCGTTCCGGTCCTCACCATCGTCGAAGAATGAAATAGTGTCAGTACTGCTGTTGATATCATCCTCTCCTTCCGTCGGAGACGGCGATGCAATGTTCAAAAGCGATAGTGCCTCTTGTTTTTGGATAATACCGCTGCCTTCAATTGAGCCCATAGAGTGCGATCGCTGTGAATCCAGTGAGGGTTGCTGCTGTTGAAGGACTTGCAGAGATCGGATCGATTGCTCAGATTGGGTTCGGCTACGACTACCACTGCCGCTACGGTGATGCTCTCGCACCTTATAGGCGTACTCCGTTCGGATCCGGTGGACCATCTTCTCTACCTTAGGTTGATCATTCTTGCGCCCCATTTCCGGGAAAGTGCCCATGTTGTCCTGTAGAGTAGAAACAAGACATATCCAGCAGCAGAAAAAATAAAAATAAAATAAAAACTAGGATCAGTATGCGTTGCTAATGGTACGGCTACAGATGCACCAGTATGACAGGGGTTCCCGTACCTCAAGATGCATCCAGACGTTGCTCAATGCTACATTCACATCTAGTCGCTGATCAGGGTTCAAGAGCAGGAGATCTTGCACCATATTGACCGCCTCGTCAGAAATATCGTCCCAATAGGGGGATGGAAAAGTGTATCGACTCTCAAGCACTTGTATCCGGAGGCTAGGAGGTGCGAGCTCGTCTAAGAGGAAAGAGAGGGAACAAGGGCTTAGTCAAGGCTCTGAAGGTTTTGCTCATCCAAAGTCCTGCATGTCAAACATACCACTAAATGGAGGGAATCCGCACAGCATGATGTAAAGAACAACGCCCAAACTCCACATATCGACTGCTTTTCCATAACTCTGGTGTCGAATGACCTCTGGGGCGACTACCGCAGCGTAAAGAGAAAACAAACAGTGTTTCAATGTTAGCGTGGCCCAGACGACTAGCACAGAGTAAAAAAAAAAAAGCGCATGCCCACGATGGCTTTTAGAACGCACCATAGCTCGGTGTTCCACAGACGGTACTGAGAAACTTATGTTCCCCAGTGATATTGGCGAGCCCAAAGTCAGAGATCTTGACAGCCAGGTTGTCTTCGTCCATGAGCAAGATATTCTCAAGTTTCAAGTCGCGGTGCACAATACCGCGGTCATGCAAATACTTCACTCCCTCCAGCAGCTGGCGAAACACAAATCTAGACTCAGACTCTGTGAAACGCCCCTTTTTCTTGACCCTATCAAATAGTTCGCCGCCTCGAGCCCTGTGAAAGTATTCAGCTGGGAGTGAGTTGTGCGCATCTGTCTCTCGTCCCTAGTTTTCTTTTTAACGCCAATATTTCAACTTACAACTCTGTAACTACGAAGTGGTCGCGTTCCTCACTGAAGACTTTGTAGATTCGTAGTAGGTTGGGCTAGACACGGTACGGAAAGCAAAGCGTCGCAAGAAGCTTCGTCAATCGCCATCAAAAAAAAAAAAAAAAAAAGTTGCAAAGGTGAGCGACGATCAAAAAGCACACAGCACTATACTCACATGGTCAATGCTCATCAGGGTCCCAATCTCACGCTCAAGACTCATCGCCATTTTGACATTAAAGTTTGAGCTCTTCTTCACTCGCTTGACGGCGAAGGTCACGCCCGACCGCTTCTCGATTGCTTTAAAGACAGAGGCGAAGTTACCGGACCCCAGTTGCTCGCCTATCTCGAACTGGCTGTCGAATGTCTATCAAGGAAACACCATTGGCGTGGTCAGTCGTGATGCTGCTGCTAAAGATACTGAGAAAGAAAATGCGGCTATGTGCCTTACCAGGTCGCCTTCTGGCTCTCCCTTGCAAAAGATGTATTCTTTGCTAAAGACTATCAGCAAGATGATAGAGAAGGGTGTTCACAAAAAAAACCATTTTGTTGCGTTAGTATGGATGGCAAACCGTTGCAAATCCAGGAGACAGGAGCAATTACCTCTCTGCTTCCCCTTGCGGGCTTCCACATAGGTGATTTTGTCACCATCCTCCAACCGGGCCGTCTTGCCTGTTCCGAGGCACACGGCATTTACATATGTACCGTTGGCACTAAAATCATGTAGAGACAGAGAAGGAGCATTGTGCTGTCAACATCGATCTAATGTCAGCGTTCGCACGCATTGAAGAAAAAAATGGACGGATCCTATACTTACCTCAAGTCTGTGAGATGGACACACTCGGTTCCAAACTCGACTTCTTTATAAACAAGGAACTGCCGGAGGCTCGTCAGGTTGCTCGCGGGGAGACTAAATGATTAGAATAAAGTGAGCATCTGATAAGCGGTCGCGATCAATACAGCCCAGAGGCATCGCCACGCACACGATGTAAACGACCACCTTACACCACATCACAGTCTGGACGCCGTCCAAAGACATAACCCACTGGGCCCTTGTTCCCTTGTTTTGTGAACCGAATAGTGTGTTGCTTGTTGTTGCTGCGAGTGCACTCGAACGACCCCCAAGCTCGTCCTGTGTACACGCGCGGGTGCCTCGGACGCTTCTGTGTTGGTGGGTCGGTGGACATGGTGGGTGGAATGAGTTTTATGGCTGCTGCAGTTGAATGAGCGTGTTAATGAAGCGGAGGGACCGACCTGCTAGCGATCTGTAGACAATCAATGAGAGAGACAGGGGTGGAGGGGAAGGTAATGAGCAAGTGGATTGCAGGTGGGTGAGAAAAAAAAAAAACAATAAAATAAAAAAAGAGAGGAGGGGGGTGGATGAGGTGGGACATGAGTGAGGATGTGTGTGCGTGCCCCGTCAGTTGTGAGCGGCACCTTGCATGCAGTTTGCACAGTATCTCTGCCGCTGCCCTGGCCCACCGACAGTGCACCTCTAGTCTACCATCCGATGCCCCTGAAAGAGGCAAGGAAAGGCAAAACAGTGCGCCCTGATTGGCAGAGGACGATAGAGACGAGCAAAAGAAACTCTCTCTGCTTTGCTTGCCTGCTTGCTCTGCTTGCTCTGCTTGGCATCCCTCGCCCACAGGGCCGCCCGCCCTAACAACAACAGACGCGTCTCTACGCGACTCTTGTTTATTTATTAATGGATGCATTTATTTATTTATTTATCGTCATGCACTTGCACCTCCGCCACAGGCAGATCGATACACTGTGTGGGGTCTCAGGGCTGGGAAGGTGTTAGAGAATGCGCGATGATGGGCGTATGTGTTCAAACGACATGGCCCCTGCTCACTTGTCCTTGCTCCTGCTTGCTCACTTGCTTCAGCGCTGGGCTCAATGTCAGCTCCGCGGCAAATGCTACAGCTCTGCTGCAGCGACCATAAAAGCCTCCACCGCCTGCTGCTTCATTCACTCCTCCCACTCTCATACACACACACACATTCTCTCTCTCTTTCTCTCTCACTTTCTCCGTTCTCAACTTGACTCTCATTGCACTCATTCAGTACCTCGTTCGTCACCTCTCTCGCACCCTCGCACCTCAACCCTTCCTTCCACTTCCACGATTATTCTTATCCTCATCCACTTCACCACACTAAAAAAATGGACTCTGACTGGTGTCTCTTCTGCGAAAAGCACGTCAACGACCTTGATGCCCTCTACTGCTCCAAGGAGTGTGCCCGCATGGACAAGCTGACCGCTACCGCCAACAAGTCATCCTCCTCCGCCTCGTCTTCCATGCCCCCAGGTCGGGCCACTCTTCTTCCTTTGACCACGTCGACATTGACCAACCACAACGGCCTTCCTTCACTCTCGCTAAGACGCTCGGTCAAGCAGCCTCTGACTGTCTCATACCCGTGCATGTTTCGTGCCTCGACGCTTATCCCACACTCCATCTCCGGCCGCGGCGGCATCCGCAAAAACAACCTCGACTACAAGAGCACCAGTGCCTTCTCTGCCGCCTTCGCCGCTGTCTCAGCGCTTGCAGACAGGTCCCACAAGCCGTGGGCTGCTCCGTTGAACCACAACGTCGACAATATG